TACATGTGGTGATTGCCCATGTGGTGACTCCATCCTGGCTGGTTGCCAGGGGGTTGCTATAAGGATGATATTTTGCTATCATCAATATTCAATGTTTATTGTCTGCCAGGCTAAAATAAATATTTTGTTATCATATCCCTCACATGATAACAAGATTTTTTTTTTTTTAAATGGCTTGATAGCAGACTGATCTCATGAAGTAGCGTGTGTATGACACTCCAATTCGTATTTCCATTTTTGGCTTGCTATCAAAACGCATAATCGCTTTTCAGCGTGTTTATGAACGCCGTTGACTTAACGTTACATTACTGTATATATGAATATATGACTTACCTCAACCCCGTCCCTAAACCTACCCGTCACTGGGGTTAATGGCATTTATGAGTGTTTCCCTACCATCCTAGGAAAAAAAAATATCGCTCCCCAGATGTAGATCTACATTTTGCTTCGTTTCGCTCGGACTTTTGACGGCGTGTACTGACACGCGGAATCACTCAGACATTAATGGCGTAGATATACACGCGGATAGCTCAAAATGCGTAGAGATAACACGGCACTTGACTCGAAAGTGGCGTGTATGTTTACGCAAAAGTCATGATGTCATGTTGCAATATCTAAAGACAAGAATATTGTAGAAATTTGGGCGTGGATTCTTCTTTGATGTCTGGAGCAGGACAAGTTAAGTTCTGAATAGTTAGCATAACAGATTTAGAACAAACAACAATAAAATAGAAACAATAATAGTCATAATTCTTTGTTTAGCAAATATGTTGCTCTATCCTATTAATCATTTGGGAATTTGAGTGTGATAATGCTCTTTAAACAATACTACTATTGTCTTTTGTCTTACTTTAGCGTATGTTCCTAGGTAAGCCAAAACTTCACTTGAGTCAGAAGCTTTACTGCCATACGGTTGCAGTGGTTTCCTGCTTCTGTGATAATTGACAATCACATTTTAAAATCCACCGCTAATGAAAGCAGCCAAAGCCTGAGCCCATAGTAACTTTTTTTTTAGGTAACATCAAATCTTGTCATGAGATGATCATCCACCAGGTGGGAATATACACAGCTCCTCGAGCCTTGGAATAATCTCAGGCGATAATCAGAGATCCTAAATCCATTAATGAAAAGTGTGGCTCGTTTGGAAGGAAACACTTTTCCTTTTGGTTATATTTTAGGGATTAAAATAAACACCTCCTAACAAGGTACCATTACTGCTTCCTTACTGACTCCTGGGCTTTGATCATGGAATGTGTGTCATATTCATTAGACCACCTGTATGAAGGCTCGACATGAACATGTGGAAAGGAGGCTCAAATAAAGTGAGGAGGAAAATGTCATTTTGTGTTATGCGCAAAATACAGGCATGTAGCTAAAATAAATGTAAGAAAAAAAGGACATGTTGGGAAAGTAAAAAAAGCCACATGATTGTACTTTCCCATTTAAAATACAAAAATGAATTATACTACCACATAAACAAGAAAGACAAGGGCAAAAAAGGAATACATTGATAAGGGGGAAAATCAGAATTAAAAAAGCCAAGAAAAAGAAACTAAACATTAGTAATGAAAACAAATAGATGGTTATATGGGTTACGGAAATTCAAGGAGATGAATTTCAGCAAAGTTTTAGGAAGTATGAGGGCTTAGACAGTTCTTTAAACAGTGTTCCCACAATGAATGTGCAATTGTGAATGACCTATGCTATGAATGAATTACTGTTCCAGTCATTTGTGGTTACTGGGCTTTTTTAATCATTTTATAGAGATTGCGCTCAAAATGGCTACTCAGAAATATTTTATAGAACAAAAGCACATGAAAAAGAAAAACAATTGTAAAATGACCTGGTATTTTTTTCTATAAGGACTTGCTGATTTTCTTTTTTATGGACGAGAGCGACTTGTGGCTGGTTTAAAGATAACACATTGTACAGCAGGAACAATATTTAAGCTTAAATAAATTTCGTTTCCAACTATTCATAGAGATGTAAGTAAGGTAGGCCACGGTAACATATATTATTATCGCTTTGCTTTGCTTTGTAAGCTTGGCGTCTACGCTATGGACTGGCTACCTGTTACGCAGTTCAATTTGAAGCACTATTGTCATGTAAATCTCATGTCAAAAGTAACTATTTTCAAGCCCTCGACAACTATACGGAGGAGAATTTATTTGCAGTAGATTTGATGTGAGTGACACGTCTGCTCTGAAATGGGATTGTATTAGCCTATGAATTTAGCAAGTGAATGAATGCCAGACAAACAATAAGGACTGAGGTGCTAATTTAGTGCAAATATAACCGCGAGAACTCGGAGCATTTACCGAAATGTAATTGTAGACTGACCTTGTCCATCAGCCATTGGTTGAAGCGTCCACGGAGGTATTAATTGGTTTAAAATAGTGATGAAATGTTCCTCTCGAGTGTGACCTCCATGTGGAGAGCGTGAGGTGGGAGCGAGTGAATAAAGTGAGACGTTAGCATGCAGCTGTCGTAGAATGGACCGGTCGCGTGCTGGAAAAGTCTCAATTGCTGCGCGCGGGAACCAGGTAGAAGTGGCGGGAGGCGCGTGGAGAGGCCGTTTAGGACCATCGCGTGCAATTATCGACAATCAGAGGAGAGCTTAAGACCTGTTCTCAACAATGGGCCCAGTTCGCCACGTTCATGGGGGTGAGCGCTCAAGTGCGTGCAGCTGCGCGCTCACATTCAGCACCAGCAGCAGAACTACCTCGCGCTCCGCAATTAACAACTCCTTTCAGTTTTAACCATTTAAAAAAGCAGTATATTATCCACTGTTTTTGCTTGTGGAATCATCTCTGGGAAGGGAATGAAAAAAGAGAGTGATTGATTGTCGCGTGAAGTAGGCTGCTGAGAGCGAATTTTCATAATTGTTGTCTTAATCCTGCACGTAAAAAATGTAAATTGCCTTTAACCGCATATGAATGAGTTTGACACATGCCTTTTGGAGCTCGATTTTTGACCAAACAATCAGAAAGAAAAAAACACACCACGTAGGCCTATTTCATTTCTACAAGTAGCCAATGCTAAGCGTATGCAGACTTATTATACATCTAGCCTTTTTTTTTATATCAGAATGAGTGAAATATGTATTATCTGCCCTTGTAGATGACCAAGAACACGAGTGGATTGTGCGGACATGCAGGAAGAGCTGGGATGAGTTCATTGGCCCCTATCCAAGAAGCAGCACACTAGAGGAGAATTGAGAACACACACAGTTCATAATATGAATGTCATTTGAACATTAATGCAGCTTTGTTACATTCATTTGTTTATTTCTTCAAACCTGTTTTCCTTTTCAAAATGTAAAAAAAAAAAAAAAAATGAGTAAAAAAAATCAAATATTGATTATCACTATAATAACAACTGTTAAATTGCAATTCACAGACTTTATGTATCGATTAATGAATGCTTAATGGAAAAATAAAACATGAGTTTGCATTAAGTGATGAGCATATCTTATGTATATTAACAAATCAACTGTTTTTTTTACACAATTAGCATTATTGTTTAAAGTGTTTTGTACTTTTATGAGAAGTGAAAGGTCAAATCAGAAAAAAATATCTCAACTGAACAGCTACATAACAAACTAGTAAATAATTAAATCAGAAGAATATAATTAAGTGAGTTTAAGTTTTAAAGGCCATTCCATACAGCTTATTTTAAAGACAAAATCATGTTTGCTAAGATAATAGTGGGATTTGGGTGCAAACTCAATTAAGAAATGTTACATCATTGCTGTTTTCTGTCCAAGTAAATGATCACTTTAACATTCAACAGCTGTATACTTCTACTGACGTAAATGAGTCCTCTTGCTCAGCTTGAGATAAATGAGATGCAAAGTTTTCTGCACTTAAGGAAGTGTGTGTGCTTGAGCACAGAGCACAGAGTAGATAGGTTAGTCAAAGATTATGTCTCAGTGTGTCTTTTGAAAGAGAACACGGGATATGCGAGTTGAATCCTGTGATGTGGCCTGACAGGGAATTCCTGTGTGTGATGCTGATGGAATCAGTGATGGAGTCATTACTGCACACACTGACCCGTGAAGGGTCTGCCAGCTCCTCCATCAGCCTGTGATTGCTTCCTGCTACACTCGTGCACACACACCGGCACATGCGTCTATATACCACAGTCAGAAATTAACCAGGGCCCAGGGCAACAACAAAAAAAAACTCTCTGAAAGTGTCAAAAACCATCCAGATTCCATATATATATTGCATTTCATGTTATAATATTAAATATAAAATATAAAAAAAAAAATCATATAAAAAATATACTGTGCATGGATCCGATGGTAATGTCATGGTCTTGAGTTAAAAAAAAATCTAACAAAAACATTTGCGATCTATAACAATGACAATATACATGCATGATAACAATGACAAAACATGACAATATATGTTTTTACATTGCTTTAACTCATCAAAATAAGTTTTTATACGTTATACGTTTTTATACTCTCTCTCTCTCTCTCTCTCTCTCTCTCTCTCTCTCTCTCTCTCTCTCTCTCATACATACATATATGTATATATAGCCTGTGTGTGTGTATAGATACAGAGTAAAAAACAATGTTTTATCATTCAAGAATATGTGGTATTGTATTTTAATACAACAGATTCTATTGAAAATGTAAATTAATTTTACACTGTCTAATGTTGTTTCTCCTCGTTCTAAAGTTAAAATGCCTCAAATGTCATTATATATATATATATGTGTTAAACTTTTTTTATACGTTGATTGTACTCTCTCTCTCTCTCTCTCTCTCTCTATATATATATATATATATATAGAGAGAGAGAGAGAGAGAGAGAGAGAGAGATAGAGAGTAGATAGATAGATTTCATGAAAAATGTTATATAGAATAAAAAGGCAAGATAAGTTCTCATGAAAATCTAGTAATCTAATTAACAAGAGCAAATTATGTTATTTTGTCAGGTTATGAAATAATTTAATTTATTTAAAAGAAAAACATTTATGATGCACAGCCATAGAAATAGTTCATTATTTTTTTTTTTTTTACAAAACAGACATGTGGAACTGGGGGAAAGTGCTTACAGGCTACCTGTCATAATAAATACAAGAATGTAGAGGCCTTGTCCCTCATTCAGAACACAAGAAAATGTATTTCTCAAATTTAAGTTACAATTTCAGACTTTTCCCCCCGGTTTCAGAGCTGTACACCCAACACTCCTGCTCTCTGATCACAGCTGAGGCATATACAGCACACGTGTATGAAGAAAACAATGAAACACAGACACATTGGTCTCAGGACACTGCTTAAATAAAAATACATTACATGTACATTTTCTTTACATGTAGCTATCTTTACATTTCACTCAAGTGCTCTTTTTAGTCTCAGTCGTCCTCTTCCTTTCCATCTTTTGCACAAAATAGTGTTGTTTGTCATTGAAAATCCTCACGTTTGATATTTTCTTTCTCTCTTTTTAGTACAATTGTTGAGAGCACTGTGTTCTATTTGAAATAATCTCACAGTAAGATCAACATTATTTGTAGTTTATGGTTGCAGTAAACTGGTAGGACAACAGTTGCAATGCCTTTTTGAAAATAATAAAATTAGGGAAGGTTTCAGGACCTTTTGAAAAATTCAACCTTAGACTAGAAATTATTATTTAACATGTCACTTGGATGGATCTAAAATGAATCAATCCGTTTTTTAACAAACAATCTCCTTTTAAAACAAGAGGTCGGCAGTTAATTATACAATTAAGTGTTGGACTTAAAATTTAAGAACAGTTTGATTCTTTTTTCAAATTAAATCTGTGGAACATTCAACCCTGCTGGCCTTTTTAGGAAAACACGGATACTTTGCATATGGGTGTAAGAACAAGACAGCAAGCAAAAGTGAAGTGAACTTAAGTTTTTTTTAAGAAGCGTCCATTCGTATCACTTGCTTAGTACAACATCCACGTTCAATCGTGGCGTGTTTCGGTGAGGAAAAAGAGAGAAAACATGTCTTACCACCTGGTCCTATGCCACTTATTTCCCATCCACATCTCTTGTGCTTTTCCCTTTTTCAACCTAAATGTTTAACACTGATCCTGGTAACTTTACATCCTTTTAGTTTGCATTCAGAGTCTCCAAACGCTGAACAAGAGTCAGACGGGACTATCAGGAGAAGGGGCGAACCAAGAGTGCTAGTCTGTTACAGTGTGTGCTCGAGTCTTTTTTTTTTTCTTCTTTTCTTTCTTGTGTCCAGAAGTCCAGATCCTGGTCTCGGTGATGCAAGTCCTAAATTCACAGGTCACAAATGCGGTTTCTCTTAACCATCCACGACTAGATGCAAGTGAGTAAAATCCCGTCCAGCGAAAACCAGAGAGGAAACAGTCTCTCTCCTTGCGAGTTCAGAGGTCAAGAGCAAGTGGTACCGTGACCTTCTCCTTCAGCCTGTGGGGTCGGCGCAGGAGTGATTGGAAGGTCAGGGTGAAGGGGTCAGGGGTCAGTGCGAGCGCTAGCGGCTGAGAGGGAGCTGCGGCAGCGTCATGGCCTGATGAGGGAGGCTCTGTGAAGTGAGCACCGAGAACGGATGACCTGCCCAACCAAAACAAAATAAACAGATGCTAATGTTAATCTCTATCTATTAGTATCTTCAGGTCAGAGAACACAATAGTTCAAAAAGATACCAATTTAGCCACCAAAATATATATACTAGTCAAAATTTACGATTTTTTAATGTTTTTGAATGAAAGTGTTTCATGCTCACCGAGGCTATATTTGATTCAAAATACAGTGAAAACAGTAATATTGTGAAATATTATTACAATTTCAAATGTTTTCTATTGTAATATATTTTCTAATGGAATTTATTCGTGATCAAAGCTGTATTTTCAGTGTCACATGATCCTTCAGAAATCAGACTATCAATTTTGAAAACAGTTGTTATGGTTAATATTTTTTTTTTATGGAAACTGAGATTCATTACCAGTTGAAAGTTTGGGTTAAGATTCTTTTCTTAAAAAATAATACTTTTCATCAAAGACACAAAAGATTTCTATTTCAAATAAATGCTGTTCTTTTGAACTTTCTATTCATCAAAACATTTCTCATGAATTCCACAATAATGTTAAGCAGCAAAAACTGTTAAAACCATTATTAATAATTGAGCACCAATAAGAATTGACAATAATTGAGCATCAAATCTGCATATTAGAATGATTTCTGAAGGTATCATGTGACACTGAAGACTGGAGTAATGATGCTGAAAATACAGCTTTGATAACAGGAATAAATTACAATTTGAAAATATATTTCAATAGAAAACAGTTATTTTAAAGTGTAATAATATTTCAGAATATTACTGTATTTTTTCTCCTATTTTTAATCAAATGCAGCATTGGTATATATATTTGTATATATATATATATATATATTACTTTTTTTTCTGCTTTAATAACAGTAGTACTGGAGGAAACACTCACTTTCGATGTACCCGTGTAGGGCCACCATGCGCGCTCTCTCGGGACTGCCGAAAGGGGAGTAATGCAGCTCGTCTGGCAGTGAGGGGGGCATGCGGGCCTGTGGGTGAGCTTGAGGTGGGCCGCCGTGCTGTGGAGTGTGCTTTTTATGTCTCGCTCTGCAGTTTTGAAACCAAACCTATGAAAATACAACCTATTGTCAAGGCAAGCTGTCTCTATTTACTGAATTTAAACGGATTAAACATCAAATGGGACTATAAGAGAGTTTCATCACCTGTATGACTCGTCTACTCAATCCTGTCATGTCTGCCAACTTCTGCAGGGTCTGAGCGTCAGGGTTGTTGTCCTGTGCAAACTGTGCCTGCATTACCTGTGCATGAAACAAGCGTCAAATTAACATTAGGCCGTTTACTAGGGGGAAAACGGCTATTTGTAATGATGTTCTATATTAAAATGACAAAATGCGTTAAAAAATTAAAATATGATTAAAAATGATACAATTAAAAATCAATACTATATATATACACTACCAGTTTTTTTTTTTGTTTTTTTTAGGCTACATTCATTTCACAAAAAAATCTTTAAAAATCGTAATATTGTGAAATATTACAATTTAAATAATAGTTTTGTATTGTAACATATTTTAAAATGTAATTTGTTCCTGTTATCAAAGCTGTATTTTCAGCATCATTACTCCAGTCTTCATGAGTCACATGATCCTTTAGAAATCATTCTTATATATACCCTGGACGACAAAACCTGTCTTAAGTCGCACGGGTATATTTGTGGCAATAGCCAACAAAACACTGGGTCGAAATTATCGATTTTTCTTTTATGCAAAAAATCATTCGGATATCAAGTAAATATCATAATCCATGAAGATATTTAGTAAATTTCCTACCTCAAAATTTTATTTTTGTAAGTGGATGCAGCACAATCGCCAACAGAAATGAAACCTTTAAAGGCGATTTTCTCAATAATTCGATTTTTTTGCATTCTCAGATTCCGATTTCAAATAGTTGTATCTCGGCCAAATATTGTCCCATCCTAACAAACCATACATCAATGGGGAAGCCTATTTATTCAGCTTTCGGGTGACGTATAAATCTCAATTTAAAAAAAAAATGGACACACAAGACTACTTTTGTGGTCCAGGATCACATATGATGATTTGCTGCTCAAGAAACATTTTCAAGAAACAAGTTTTGTTGTTGTTTTGTTACAGTATTTTTTATCAAATGAATGCAGCCTTGGTGAGCATAAGAGACTTCTTTCAAAAACATTTTTAAAATATCAGATGTTCCATTCCAAACATTCTGTAGCGTATACATTAATATAGCCTACTTGCTGTTGCTTGCTGATAGTGCCACTTGAAAAGGTAAAATGCTCTTCCATATGCATTTAACGTGAAAGCTTTGTAAACATCAAATGGAACTTAAAAATGAATTCCTATTAGACAAAAGCAAAACCAAAAAGGGTGCTTCGCTTCCTCATCTCAGACTTCCACATGCCACGGTGTGTTTGATAATCTTACCTGCAGTTGTTCCGCAGTGAAGGACGTCCGTGCCCTTTTGGCCGGTTTCGGTTGACTATCCTGTTCCGACGGCACCGCCCCCTCCAGAGTGAGTCCGCTTCCTGCGCGAAAACCCGGGAAAAGGTGGTTAGGAGATCTTTTTTTATAGATCAATGAGACCTAAAGTGTAACGCATCCGAAACACACGCACCACTCTCAGCGGCCCGTTTCAGGTTCTCCACCATTGTGTCGTAATGGATCCGACACAGTACTTTCTCCTCCACCAGCCCGAACTCCTCGCCTGTGGACAGCTGGCGTTTGCAGGAGAAGCAGGCGAAACAGGCCAGATGGTAGGCATTGCCCCTGGCTCGCCGGACCCAGTCGCTGGCGTAGATCTGCCGGCCACACCGGGCACACTTAGTACCAAACCTACTGTGAGACAGAGAAGGGCTTGGGCATCAATATACTAATTCCATGTGCTAATCATTACAACCCAAAGCCTAGTATAATAATAGAAGCATTTTCTGTGTAAATGATGCTTGTTGTTTTGAATTCATAGTGTAATGTTATTACATGCATTTCTGTTTAACAGTTTAGCAGCTATCTTTTCTCTCCACAAGCTCTAGCCAGAAGAAGACAGAGTACAGATAGGCTGAACCGCGTCCAAAAGATAACCACTAAACGTGTCAGACACGGCTGTAAAACTCTCAGCAAAAACAAACCACTAGTAATTCTCTGAGCAGCGGGTCGGCAGGAAATGTCTGCTGATAAACTGTGCTGATGGGATCCATAAACTCTTGATTTTATCCAACAAGGTGTGTGATGCATGTAAGACATCTATTTTTAAACCACCTCCACTTTTTTTGTCTGTGAGGAATTCAAGTATAATGTATTCATTCACATATCCAAATATAACATTGTTTTATTCATTTAAAAAAATATATAATTTGTTTATAATGCGATTATTATATATTAATATATAATATGTGTTTTCAGTTGAATGTACAGGATAGTAATTATCAAAAATGTTCTTAAATTAAATAATCAATATATATACACATGCATTGTATATATATAATGTAATTTCAGTTTATTTTACAGGTTATTGATTATCAAAGATACTCTGCAATATATTAATCTGCTTAAATGTACACAGTACACACAGAATTCAAACTTTTTTTCAGATCATTTCAGTCTTTGGGTGTTTTTTTATTTTATTTTTATAAAGTACATTTTTAAAGAAATGTATTTATTTATTTGTTCTTTCGTTCTACCATTGCCAAAATATCTCCCATTCTCCCTCAAGCCGACATTTTTTGCAGTTCTTTGAATAGCACATAGTAATTGGTCTTTTCTTTCTTGCATCTGTATATTTATATTTAGTCCTAATTATATAATACACTGTTATGTGTTGATTCTCTTGTGCAGAAAAGGAGTTTAGATGTTATTGATGTTACTGCTGACGTTACATGTTAATCATTGCATTCTCGGCTAACTGCGATTTGTAAATATCACACGTTCCATATTTAATTTAGCACTGCATTTTCAGCTGCCATATGGCCATGTTGTTGTTGCTTAAAGCACCACTTCTGTGATTCTGTGATCAACAGGACTCGATGAACAACCCTGCGGCGATGCAAACCAACAGCAAATACACACATCCTGTCATAATGAAGTGTTATTTTGACTGGACGGGCTGACCATGCCGTGTGTTTTTGACCCAGACATCACATTCGGGTGACCAAAGAGGGTTCCAGTGTTGAGAGGACTGGGAGAGACTAATGCTCTGCAGATGGCCAGTCACGGCCCTTTTTTGGCCTGAATCTGAGCCCCCCTCCCATTCCTCCTCCTCCACCACCATCACACCTCTGTCATTGGGAGCTCTTGTGTAAACAAAGTGTCATACACAACCTCCTCAAACTGCAAAGAAACACGGGATATCAAGATAGCCATGTTTCCCTCGAATACGCTACTGAAGAATGATGACACCGGCCCCTCAGGGGGGGGGTTCATCCACTGGAAATGACATCAGAGCCCAACCAGGGAGCCCCATGGGGCTCAACAAAGCAGAAACTAAACTTGTGTGCATGTATCATTTGTCTCTGCCAATCAGCACCAGACCAAGATGAGCCAAGAAGCAAAAACAAACCTGAACCAAAAATTATTTACAGTCCACTTACGTGCAAAGTATCGGTACATAAAACACGCCTCGCGTATTAATGCCTGCAAAAAAGCATGCAGGTTTTTGTGTACACTGCACACCATACTCTGACAGCATCATTCCAGACAAAGAATACAACGATTGAGTAATGATGCATTTCAGACGTGTGTTTAGAGGAGAAACATTGTGGAACGGAGCCGTAATCTGTCATGGCAGTTCATTTACCGCAAAACCTCTCAGAGAAGCCATAAAGATCTTAAGGGGGTTTTGTGTTTGTTCAGATCTGCCGCACATCTGATTGTGCGTTGTTGTGCTTATACTGGATTTATTTCTGTCCTGCATATCATAACTCGACGGGGGAATATTCCTGCAGCCGCAAAGCGTTTCCCTCAGTTCCTCAAGAAATTCACCTTTGGCTGCAAAAGAGAAGCTTGTGGAAGTACAAATTCGGTTGATTAAATGCGATATACTCTTGGAGTATATAATCTGGGGGTAAATCTCCCTCTCAGAGACTGATGATACTTATCAGTGACGTTTGCTACGGCAAGCATGGCTGTTACTATTGCTCGTGGTGGTTTTTCCAAACCCTGAATCATGAGGATTATAAAATTTGGTGTTTAATTCATCCCACCCCACTGTTTGTGCTACAACCATATGATACTGCAAATCTTACTACTTGTTGAGGTGTGCTTTTCCATTCCTTAGTGATCGGCACGGTAAAAAGATATTTTCAAGATTTGTTATCACAACATTTTTTCTTTTGTCAAATCAACTTAAAAATGTATTTAGTTCAGAAAACGTATTTTTTTTGAATTTCTGATGATTAAATCAATCTCCTTCATTGTATTAACTCACTTTTTCCAGTTCAATCAACTTAAAATTTTAAGGCAACCAGGTTACTTAATTTTGAGATTAAGTTGAAGTTAAACCAACATTTTTTTTTTTACATTGTTGCGATTGTCTGAGAAAAATAGTCATATGTAGTGAATCACATCTAGAGACCTGAATAAAGACTGGCACTGATCAAATATGCCTACATCCATACTATGTATTAAAAAAAAGGCAAATGAGAAGTATTTCCAAATTTACTGTAAGAAATAAAAAAAAATGCTGCCTTAGAGTTTTAAGTACAATCAACTTGGATGTTTAAGTCATTTCAACTTAAATTACATTAAACTGACTTAAAAAAAATAGTTGTATCTTGTATAACTAATAAAAAAGGTGAAAATTGCATATCTTATTTTGATGAGCTGAAGCAATGTAAAAACATTGTCATAACTTGTTAATGATATAATTTTAGTATTCGAAAAAAACGGAAGGTGAAAAGTACCCGAATCACCGGATCAGATTCGGAAGCGCGCATGATGGACACTTTACTATCCCATGAGGCAACAGGAGAGAATTTGTGAATGCAACTGACGCCGTAGATCACATGACGATGACAACATGGTATGTGCAAACTTTATTCAAACTTCACACATTCATACCAGATAGAACATACTTTTTCAACAGTATGCAGTCTTGGTTAGTAACTCTTTGTTGGAGCCTATATTTTGGTATATTGTCTCTCTTAACCTAAAAAAAACATTTCATTTTGTCATAATTTCAGTCACTCATATAATTTGCCCGCATTCTCCACCAAAGTTGAGTTACACAAGCTCTGTTTACTTCTGTTTGCATTTTCACAATGAACCTTGCACGCGCATATGGCCATTACAGTACGTCACCTCCTCCAAATCTACCGATCCAAACCCACTCGGGTTACGCCTTACTCCATCACCCTGTCCTTATCCTTTGGTTCCTCTGATTAACAGCCTCCTCTGACTTCCTGTGTGGCCTAATGCTCGTGCCTTTGTGGCTGTTTCTCTTTAGTGTAGGTACAGTCTCCACTCTGACCCTTACCGCCAAATCTACCCCCCCCCCCCACTCCCCCACCCGTCCAAGGCACACGGAGCAAACCCACTTTGATTTCCTGTAATTACACTCTATTAGAGCAGCTGTCAATCTGGCCCAGATGAGAGACTAACACAAATGAAACATATCTCCTTGTGTTTTGTTTTCCTTCCTCGCAAGAAATCAATGGAGATCCTTTTCCTTTCAAGCATATGATGGCAGTCCTGCGAAACAATCCAGCTGCCAAAGAACAAACACAGGTACACACAACTCTCGACGTCACTGCAAGCAAACATCCGAGCATCAGAATGTTGAGCATCGAATTGATTCAGTGCAATTTGACTGCGAGGCCAGTGCATGACATCTAACCTTAAAACAACACACTGCAGGAAATTTATTTCCATATATATATATATGGAGGTAAAAGCACAGAATTAGTTTCAAGCATGTCAAATGCTACTTTCTACTATAACTGCTAGGTTATGATCTGGAACTCTTTATGTGAAAGATACAATTGGGTACAAAGGCTAAAACAGACAAAAAAAGGTGAAAAGAGCTGATATAAGCATAGCAAAAGCATGTCTGTTTGCAGAGGACTCGACAAGAGGGATGTTTCAGTGGCACCGGAGAAAAACACTTCAGATCACTGAACTTCACTCCACAAGTATGGAGCTATTGCTGTCTCTTACAAGGCTAATATGAATACGTTACAGAGTCAATCAGTATTGTTCTGCCGGGTTCCTGTGAATTCATGTCAGATATAATAACGTGTACACCATCCTGATTAACTTGCATAATTAGCCGAAAAAGCTGAGGCTGTACTTAGTTATGCAGAGACCAACATAAACCCCTGTGGTTGCTGTTTTGATATATAAAACTGTATGAAAACTAAATTAAAATTAAAATACTGTTTGAGGGCAATGTATCACTGTATAAAAATATTGTTGATTTAGCTGAAAAAAGTAAGTCACCTAGTGCCTAATTTGAGTTCATTGAAATTAAAAATTGTAGGTTATAATGAAGGAGGTTTAATTAGAAACTCAAAATATTATGTTATCTAAACTACATCAATTATCTAAGGTGATTTGACAAAATATGAGTGTTTTTTTTACTATTCAAAATATGTGAAAATTTGGATACAGGAAATAAATGAATTATTTATCTTTTTCTCTACAAATCACATGAAAATCTCACTTTCAAGGTCAATTCGAAGAAAGTGAATATAGTTGGCATTTATATATACATTTTTGACTTTATTTTTATCGATGATATTTAAAGAAAATGTCTACAGCATTAAGGAAATGAGGAAAAAATCAAACAAGCAAAAATAAACAACAGAACAGGGGGAATACTTTAGTCATCGATTGCTTAATACGGTAATCAATCCATTTCCGGTATTTTAGAAATGAGTCTCAAAATAAAAGTCAATTCTTCCATATTTTATATGTCTTTAACACATTTTCTCCATTCACCAAGTAAAGGAACGTCCTGCTTATACCATATTTATGATATTTAATGCTAATAGTAATAAAATAATACACATTAAACCACTTTGAAGACTTTGAAAACCCCCGTCTATTTCATTTAACAGTCTTCAGTGAGCTTTTTCTCCCATTTCTGAACTCGTCATCTTTAGAATGAACTCTAATCCACTAAAATCTATTTTGTGGCAAGCTTTCTTGCATGCATTCAAATGTCCTTTGTATACATCCTCCGTGCCAAATTTTCCTCTTGAAATCTCTCATGTGTAAACAGCTCTAGCCACTGAGAGATCCTGACGCCCTAGACTCGACCGAACCGCCGTTGCTCAGTGAAGATCAAGACACTGGAGCATCTCTTCAGATTATTGGCCTTAACGTAGAAAACAAACCCTCTCCTGCAGCATTGACTTTAAAGGGGCCAGTCATTCACATCAACGGGCAATAAGCAGGGAAGGCTGGCCAACATCATGCCATTCACAGGCCTCGCTGAGTGCTCTGCAATCATGCCATATCACAGCCCCTTGCACCCTCAATGCAATTTCACAGCTTCCCTGTCGGATCTCCCTCACTCCATGCCTTCCCACGATGAGCACATTACTGGATCTCAACCAGAGCTCCATACTTTTGAGATCTTCAATTCTTTAACTTGGGTTTGATTTCTCAAACCATTCAATTGCATACAAGGGAATAGTGGCAAATGTAAACCAACTAATGATCAAGTAATCAAGTTCTATTTAGACCTGCCATTATATTACTACTGGCATCATCTCCTATTGTGGGGCTTTTTTCTTCTTCCCACAATTTAAAAGTATACACTGCACAAAATGTGCTTCATGTATCTAAATTAACTGGTCAAAAATATTATTTACTTCAATTGAAGTGTTTTCAGCTGTAAAAATATTGACTTCCAATAAGCCACAACATTATTTTGACCACAAAACATTTTTTTTTTTATTATTATTAAAAAAGACAAGCATGGAATCTCTAACAGATGCATAAATTAGCTACAAAGACGAAATATTTCTAATGATTCGATTGCCGTGAATAATTATAATGTTATATGAGGTCTTTTTCACTGACTTAATCACAATTAGGTTACTCAATTAAAAAGGGCGTATATTGTGTAAATATATGTAGCCTGTTTGTTTGTGGTAACCTATTTGATCGCTAGTTTTTTTCTCTCGATAAAATCTTAATTTTTTATCTTTTAACCAAAACACGCTACACTCACGCAACATATTTTCATCCGTAGCCTACGTAAATATTGCTCATATTCATTTAAGCGCACACCTGATATTTCTGAGGACAGAAAGTGAAAAACTTACCCTACCTGAAATAATCCATTTTACAGAAGATTTCCTTGTTTTTAATGTAGCAGCTGTTGTGTTGACGTAGTGAAGTCCTGCACACGGAACATTCCAGACACCTCACGTGCCAGATCAGATTATTAACCTGCAATTAACACAAACAGCGAACATCAAAATATAGCCTAATTATGATGGTGATAAAAATAAACATAAAAGAGCTAGCCTAATAATAATAGCCTAATTGAAATAAATGAAATTATGATGGGCCTATTTCTTTAAAAAGGCTACGTTTATGCACGGTGGCTATCTTGTGTGTGTTTTTTTTTTTTTTTGCATTTTGTAAAATCCGTATTATTATAAAAGATTTATTGTCAACGTGCATTAAAATTATAGGTCGCAACTAACACGTTTCTTATTTGAAAAATCCCCCAAATCACTGCCTTATAGCCTAAATAGCTGTTAGGCTACAAAATAAAATGTTTCGTTTATAATTAAAGTTGTGATAAAAAATAGGATTCTGTTTTTTTTTTTTTTTTGTAGCTAATGATGTCCTTAGAATTGTGTTGCCTATAGCCTATAAAAGTGTTTAGCCTAATTATGAATGTAGATTCACGCAAATTAAGCAGCATATTTTTGCACGAGAAAATGTAGGCTATAGCCTAATAATAATAATAATAATTTGATAATAATAATTTAATGTTAATGAAAACGGCAACATATTCTGTGTGATTACTGATATTTTAAACTTGAACTGATATCTGAAATTAAAAATGATGATTTTAACCAAGTTTTCTGTAAACTGTAGCCTAACAGTAAACTGAAATGTTTGAAATTATTGAAGAATTCAGACGAAAGTAAGCTGGGCGTTTGAAGGTTTTAGCCTACATTTTTAACTTGTTTGATGCATTTTCAGACTTTTTTAGAGAAAAGGGAAAACTCAAAAGGCGACCTATGAAGATGGTTCATTCTGACTAAACTGTAATAGCCTAAACTCACACGGGTTGTTTTATTAGTTTCCGCAGAAAAAGCTAAACAAACTCAGGCAGATCGCGCTTTAAAGATCCTCGCGCGCAACACAAGCACTTCCTGAAAAACAAGCAGCCCGAGAGCGCGTGCACGCGACGATCCTCTCAACATCTTTAGTAAAAAAAAGGCTATAAATGTTTGCATCCAAATATTATGCGTAAAAAAATAGCAAATAGCAGGAAAAATCGAAATCTATGGGCCTAAGCCTAACAAATATTCGCAATATTTTTTTTCCTTCACGATTAGCTTAGACAGACTTTAATAGCCAAGCTCATTTATATATGTGTAATAATAATAATTAGGCCCTATTATTATTATTTCAAATTAACCTCTTTCCCCCTTCACATTATTTTAACATGTTCCTCTGACCAAACTAAAACACAGACATTAACTTACAAGCCTAATAACATATTACAGAAACCTTAACAAATCTGTTATCAAACAATGCAGTGCAAATATGATCATGTTTCTGCGTGTGATAAATTTGATCAACAAAAACAAAACACGCACACACACACATTGTAGGACCTACGGCTGTAAAATAAATAAACAACGACACATTTTATAGCTTATTTACTCATGTTTTATAAACCCCAAACGCAAGCTCCTCATGTAAGCCAAATTTGTTTGAGCCTATAGCGTTTTATCATAAGTCGGGTTAGAATCAGTTAAAGACCATGCACCAGCTTATTGCATAAAGGCTATTCGATCTACTAAATTTGCAGCGATCATATCCCAATATTGAGGGTTAAAACTATAGACGGTTGTCTAAAAATAATAATGAATGCAAGCATTTCTTTAGCCAAATAAATAATTTCAACCTACATAATGTTGTTTGCAAACGTTTTTACAAAAGTGAGTCAGAGAGGCTCATATCAAAACAGTTGACACGTCACACGAGACGACACACACACAAACACACACACATACAGTCACGCGCCCGTACCTTGAGCAGATATCGGTCGAGGATCTCGAGCCCGCAGCTCGCACACACGTTCTTCCCGGTGGACGGCACGGACGAGGCGCTGGACGGGGGCGAGCAGATGGACGGAGTCGACGGAGGACTGGGCGAAGAGCGAGTGTCCTCTTTCTCCATATTAGATCTGTGAGATTCTCCGTCAGACTGTGACTGCCAGTGAAAATATAGCAATACATATCTCACTCTCATGTGAATGATGTTTACAGAAATTTTCTGAGAAAAATAATTCAACCCAGTAAAACTGAAAACGTAAAAGAAATCAAGTCAGCATGCTTTGCTGATCCTCTCCGAACAATTCGAATTTAATTATGAAGACGAAACTTCTCAAACTCATGGAGTAGGAAAGTCTAAAATGCTCGTGTAAACACAAAATGATAGATAAAGACGGCGGCCCAGTCTAAGAGGGAATTGGTTGACATTTAAAAAGCTTTCCTAAGCACAAAACTGAAATAGGCTAATCCAAGAACAAACTCACACAAATACACAAATCAGTCAAGATTTTTGCATTCTATCTAAAGGCCTTTTTTCTGCAAAATCTCAACGCACCGATCAAGCAGAGACCCAATAAAGGAGCACGATCGCTCCGCGCGCTCACCATCGCGTGTCCGTGTTGCGCGTCCACGCAGCGCGAGGCTCCCGGTGTGCTGTGCGAGTCTGGAGAGATCACCTACAACACAGGCAAGCCACAGTGCTCCACGTCAGGCATGTTCCCTGCTCTATATATGCGCCCAAAACAATAAAAACCGCTTTTAACTGTGCATTGAGAGCCTCGCGACAAAAGATCCTGTTTTAATGAAGCGATTTAAATTTGGATTGATTTTTTTCCCCACACTTAACCCGTGCCTCTTCCCATAATCGTATTTCCACGCAATCCAGGGAGCTGAAAAAATAAACTACCTGCAATTACAAATAGCTTGAAATGCTCGCGATAAGAGGACCCCAGAGTGTCAATTTCAACTGCCAATCAGAGAAAGCAACGGGCCACCCAAAGAATTGCAAATTTGATTTTTAATGGCAGTAATTAAAATCTAATTTTTCCTCTGCAGACTTGGCATGTGAAGAGGATGGACCGCAAATCACACTATTCAGAATAGATCCTGATTCTCATGACATCACTTTAAGGTGAAGATGTTGCAGGCTGCAGAAGATGATGCCACACAGTCCCTTTTCTTTCCATGCAATTTGATGGATAACAACAGACATAACTGCATTATTGTTATGCAATTGAACAAGATTAAACGAATTTGCAGCCTTATTTTTTTAAGTAGCCTATCAACTTGAACGTTTAAATCATTTCAACTTAAATTGCATTAAACTGACTTAAGTTGAATCTTGTGTAAGTTGAAACTTATAAAAAAGTAGAACATTTCTTAACTTATTATGACGAGTAAAGCACTGCAAAAACATTTGTTGTCATAACTTATTGATCATATAATGTTTTAGGCTACAGTGTAAATGTCTTACCTGTTTTGAGGGAATTCCTTCGGATAGAAACTGATTTCCCTCTGATAGAGGGGCCAAAGCCTCATTTTTCCAATACATTTGACGGCTTAACCTTCTTCAGATTTGGCTTCAAGCGGGATTTTTTTGTTTGTTAAATATTCCTTATCCCATGCGCCCTGCCCGGTTAACGTCGGTCTAATTTGAACCCTAAGCGTCGTTTCCTCTCGTATAGTCAATCAATAACGATCAATAATCTCTAAGAAAAACCGTGTAGGCTAAAAGAAATCTTCACATTCGTGATAAACCGGGAGCAGACGCGCCGAGCGCGAGCGGTTCGTCGGGACGCCTTATTTAGAACCGTTTGCAGGATATTTCCTACTTTTTTCCTCTTTTGGGATGCAGTTGCTTGAGTACAGGAAGTGGAGAAAATTGAGGGGCTGGCAGGTTTTGCTCCTGCTCTCCTCATAGGCAGTCAGAGCACAGCCTACCTTCTGAAAGTTTACAGATCAGAGGGGAGGGAAGAGATGTGGCCTGAGTGTGGAGCGACATTTTGTGATGCTGTTGTTGGGCTTTAATTGTCTGAGAATTCAGCGATTAAAAAAAACAACACTGGGCTTCTAAATCAATATTTCACTGGGATGTTATGGGTATCGAGTGTATTAACATTTAATTACAAAAATAAAAATGTTTGTTCAAATAATTTTAAGATTTTGTTTTATATTATACATTTGATTCATAAATTGACCTATACGATCTTCATGGTTTATAAAATATACCTAGGTCTACAAAAATGAATTATTTTTAGCCTACTTTTGAAAAGTAGGCTAATTGAAATTAGCCTATTATTTCAACCATTTTCTCTTTTAAAAACCAGAATGCTAAAAAATAATATTTTAGTTGTATTTGTTAATTTAATAATAGTTGCATTTCAAGCTTTTGTGACACTAAAAAAATACTTTTTTCTGATGCCGTTCATCTATTCGCGTTATGCAATCCAATGTCCAAATGTAGGCTATTTTGATTATTTATATCATTGACTTTATTTGTAAAGAAGTCCACATAAGCAACAGGGTGTCGTAATCTGTCTTTTCTATTGCAACAAAAGTGTTAGTGATATGTATATAGGCTATGTCTCGTTAAGCATATTTAAAAACCAAACTTTACAAACTCTAATCAACATAGCCAAATACAGCTGACTCGATCTCAATCATTGCATTCAAATGGTATTTCTGTCCTCGAATTTGTTTAAAATGGGCATGCGAGATAAAAAACATTTACCCAATCTGAAACAGGCATGGTATTATGTGGGGAAAAACAGAGAGAAAAATACATAACCATCAGATATTCAGCGTAGAGCTTTTCTCTCTGCAACAGTTGCATTAGAAATGGATCATCTCGACATATTCAGGGATTGTTAAAATGAAAGGTTGCATTTAAGAGATTGTAAATGGAAGCGTTCAGGTTCAACGCCACTCTTTCATTTCTATTTGAACTGATTGTTCTTGTTTTGGAAATGAATTCGAATAAAAGAGGAAAAATATTGACGTGACCTCGCGCCCTTTAATAGGCTATTAATCGACAAAAACTTGGCTAGTCTATTTGACCAATTTACTTTATCACACAAGAAAAATGATAGAGTCGAAAAATAAATAAACACGGTAAATTAAGAAGAAATTATAAACAAAGAAAACAAAAAGCAAAATGAAAGATCTCTATTGGGTTAAATTCGCAAAGACCGATAATAACTCATGTTAATTCGAATTCATACCCGGTTTTAATTTAGAAAACAAAATATTTTAGGGTTAAATTGATATTTAATTAATTGAATCCTGCCGCAGCATATAACACTCAAGGCCTGTTCGTAATTGAAAACGGTCGCAGTTTAATTAACGTGAAAACGGTAATAGAGAAAAATCCACTTTAGCCAACAGACAGCTCAAATCAACACAGCAGATCTTACTGTGATTTAAATACGCACACATGTCCACTTAAAGTGAAAGCACAAGAATCCAGTTTGGACATCTCAAGGACCATTTCTTTAATTTTTGAACACAACAGAAGCGAAATCTATCAAAATACCTGGATATTTACACTGGAACCAAACTGTCCTGTTGTGATGCCCCACTCCAGGCCATGTGATAAAAAGCCCTTATCTCTTAAGACTTAAAAATGCTAGATATAATAGTTAAATAAACAATGCAGAATATTGTGCTTCCATACTCCAACAGGGTAACAAAGAATGGTAAAGTCTGATTTGTATGTAGATTTCGGATCATGAGACTCACAACAACTTTCACAAGCAGCACATGGGGCAGTTTACTTCGTGGATAAGAAAAACACACAAAAACACTATATTCTGGAAGAATATCAAGGAAGGGATGTAAATTGAAAAGGTGCACAAGCTCTTAAAGGGATAATTTAGCCAAAAATGAAAGTTGTCATGATTTATTAACCCTCATGATGTTTCAAACCTGTAAGATAAAATAATATATTTTGAAGAATATTGTTGTTCAAACAACATTGGACCCCATTAATTTTCATTTTATCAAAAAATCTGTCATTTATCAAAAACAATCCCCTTACAGGTTTGAACTGATATGAGAGTGAGTATAAATGAGTAAATGATGACAACATATTGATCATTTGACTGACAAATCCCTTTAAACTGAAATTAGTTGGGTAATATCAATATCAAAAAAACTCAATTCACTAGAATTTTGTGGTTAGATTCTGCTTCTATCAGCCGGTCTTTCAGTAAAAATACTCCTCCGCAGGCCGAGAAACAGAACAGCACTACAAATCAAAGGTGTTCGCTCTTCTCATGACGCATCACAGTCTCACTCTGGCCAAGACACAAGAACAGCTCATCAGCCCACATCTCTCAGTCTGTTCGTGTTGGGTGAAGAGACACTTGGCCAGTTGTTGAAGAGGTCATCTCCTGAATTTGCGAAACTGCTTGCGGTAGGGCTGGGACCTCTTGTCTCTGTTATCGGGGGGCTTGTTGTAGATGTACGCAGAGGGTCCGGAATAGTCATCCGGGTTTTCTTCCATCATCTGCAGCTTGGCTTCAATGGCACGAATCTTTGCATTAACACTTTAAACAGCAGAGGAAATAGAAAAGGAAACCTTCTAATCCAATCCAAATTGGTCACTTAAGTCAATTTGAGGCTATTTGGAAAGAGTTGATGAGAACAAAAAACAGGAGGGAATCTAAAAGAGGGAAAATGAAAGGGAGCTAGGAGGTAATGTCCCAAACCTCAGTGTGGTTGGCATCTCCTCTGCTTCGCTGGACGAAGGATCTAAACTGGCCGGCACATTTTTGTCTCCTCTGAAGGGTTCAAACTTCTGAAAGCCAACAAACACACACCAGGATGGATATAAGACAGGTTTTACACGAGACACTGAGACAAAATGCACTGAGGGTTGTTTCACTTAAACACATTTGATTGCATTAGAGAGCAGGCTGCTTATTAGTCATTTGCTCTCTTGGAATAGTGTGGGAAAAGTTGGGCTACGCAACGTCATAAACATTCATTCCACTCAAAAATGTCCCTCCAACCACCCTTGCGATCATGAGGATGATAATGATAGCAGCTCATGGGAATCTGTGGGGAATAAAAACAAAGAGTGATTAGAAAATGCTTTAAAATGGGAGATGATGACACATATTTAGAAAAACGGACAAAATGAAAACAACAAAAAAATCTTTGGATTCCACACCACAAAAAAGGACATCGTGAAATTGCTTTTGCAATGCCTTTAACTTCCAAAATGTGACGCATTTATTAAGTTAACCTGATTAATTAACTGGAAAATGGTGTCGGCTGCGACTATTTATTCCTGTCAAGGATTGGAATTTGATCTGTTGGGATAAATTTGTTTGGATCTTCATGTTGATATTATTAGAAGTGCTTGCCGTCCCAAACCACTGACCCAAAGTAAACTTTGGCAAGTAACTACTGTAAATGCTTAATAAATGATAATGTGTTTAAAATGTTCCTTTTGAGCGGTGCTTTTACTTTTCAAAGCAATCAGACCTGGTGGACGATAAAACAGGTGGAAAAAAACATGGACTTTCATTGAATGACCACATCTAGGGACCAAATTATCAAATATATCAATATCACCCCTCTTTGAAAGTAGGAATACCTGAGCACAACCCTACTTTGCGACCATCCGATTCCTTTTTTATTTTAAAACACTTTTTACAATTTATTAATTAATTTGTTTATAGTAAAAAACTACAGTGAATAAACATACATTTCCAGTCATTCATTTCAGCTTAACATTTTTTCAGATGCATTTTTTTAAACAACAAAATTTTTTTAATGACAACAAAACACTGAAAACGGCATATGTTCTTTAGGTTTTCATTTGTTTGTTAAAAAAAAAGGATGAACTTGCATGACCTTTGTAAGCAGGGCAAATATACCAATTATAATATTTTTTTTTAAATCATATTTTGTGTGGCAAAAAAAAATCCACGTCCTCCTCCCATTCGTGACTGTACACAAGAAGGTTGCACGGGTAAGCATAGTTTCTTCTAAAATATTTACAAATGCTAGCACAGCCTTGGTTACTTTAGCAGAAAAATCTTCTGTAAAATAATGTAATATAATAATAATAATTAATAAAACATATATCGCAGTTAATTTCTTCACTTGTAAAATCACATCTTTCAAAAACTATAAAGCAATGTTCTACAGTCTGTTTCTGATCCCTTATATAAACTTACAAATTTCCCTTTTGTTTATTTTTCTTTCGATTGCTACACTCTAAAAAATGCTGGGTTGTTTTAACCCAACTTTGGGTCAAATATGGACTAACCCAGCCGTTGGGTTAAATTTTTACATTACATTTTTAACCCAACATTTCGGGTTTGTCCATATTTGACCCAAAATTGGGTTAAAACAACCCAGCATTTTTTAGAGTGTACACTCCACCCAAATAACTGCAAACCATATATATATATATATATATATATATATATCTCGAATGATCAGACAGCCACAGTGAACCCAGGGGCTTCGAAGCGCACAACTGATTTACACACACACACTGAGACCTGTGGGTGAGATCGGGCAGTGGTCAGGGGGACCTGCAACCAGAGCTGCCTGCTGCTACTTGTTGTCAACAAGCCTGCACTGTTGACCTTGACCCCAGCCTGGTGTCCCTTTCCCCTCAGACAGGGAGGGCCAGAGGAGCGGGATTCTCAACCATACAGGATTTCCTCATGCCCAGCGGCAGCTGCCTATTGTTAAGGAGCAGGGAAGCCCCTCTCTATAGCTTAACTATAGGTGTGATGCATGATCTTTATGGACTGTTTTGAAGTAGCAACATCCTGATATTCCATAAACACCTACAGAAGCATAAATGAATGTCATGGATTGTCATGGCAAGTTACAGTACAGACTAGAAATGTACGCTTTCTGATGCGAGTG